GGGGGGGGGACGGACACTTTTGGGACAACCATGGTCTGGATGACTGAGCATTTCCATAGACATAACCTTAATATAATATTCTGTGCATTTAAAGCCTGACTGAAATACTTTCTACTCATTTCTTTCTTGCAGACAAGAAACCGTTTCGAAGGCACCCGGTCAGAAGTTGAATCCTTGATGAAGAAAATGAAGGAGAATCCTCATGAGCACAAAAACATCAGCCCCTTCACCATGGAGGGCTACCTTTACGTTCAGGAAAAGCGTGAGTACCTTTATGCTTTCTCAGTCAGGAAAATGGATGGCTGATGCAATTAGAACCTTTGGGAGTTCCAAAGGTGCTTTTACAAAAGGCAACTAGACTTTCAAGAAGTCATGGATGATTGAGCATCTCCACAGACAACTTCTGCAAAGGGTAGCTCCTTAGAAGAATAATTCCTCTATTTTTTTCCTTTTTCAGTTATTTTTAATGAAAATAAAAATAACTGGCACAGAATATTATTACATATTTATAACGACAGCAAGTATTACACAGTTCACTGTATGCACTGTGAAATCTCCAGGGTAACGATATGTAAAACTCTAATATCTTCATATCTTTTCTATAAACCTTACAACCTTTTTTTCGCTGTTGTGGAGATACTCCTGTAGATATTGCTGCAACACAATTGCTAGCATGCATAGGCATTAACTGTATTTCCAGACTACCAAAAGATAGAGCAGCATCAGAAGAGCCAGAAGTTCCCAACTACTAGAAAGATGAACAGGCATCAAGCAAATGAATTTTATAAATGTATAGGAGAAATAGAAATTATGAGACTAAAACAGATTTTACTTTTTTCCCTTCTAATTAGTCTGCTGCAATATGTTTGCACTTCAGAAGAATTGCTATGCCCTTGAGCTTTCAACCACATTGACTGCAACCAGCTTACATTTTCTTGCTATTTCTGTCCTAACTCTAATTAGCAAGAATAAAATAAGTTCCTTATGAAACTCACATTTCAGGAGAGGTCTACATAATGTATTAGAAGTGCAAAGTAGGTAGTCTAATTATATATTTGAAATAATATCAACACCTATATCTAAAAGGTTATGAAGGTTGCGAAGTGAAAAAGCTGCAGTGAGTATTAGAAGAAGAATATCTGCTCTTTTCATTCCATCTAATGTCAGGTTGAGGACTGCTGTTAATAGACTGTGTACTACCTTCAAGGAAAACTAATATTTTCCCTGATTTTAAATTACATTTTTAACCTGCATAGAGTTTCCATTTTGCATCACCTATACCTTTCTTCTAAAGTATTTTCCCCCCTTTGGACTTTCTTTTTGGGATTTACTAAAAAAAGATGGAAAATTATAGGAAGTACTCCCTTTTGTTTTCAAGAACTGAAATCGACAGAGTAATTCAATTAGTGATTTTTTGTGTGTGTGACTTTCAGTATTTTGGATATAGAAACATAGAAAATTGATGGCGGTCTAGTAAGTCCACCCTTTAATTTTTTGTTTTATTTGCTATTTACTTTTTATTTTGTTTATCATTTTTTATATTTTATTAATTTTTATTTTATTTTCTATTTTTAATTTTTGTCAGATGATGGACATACATTTATTCCAAGCATGTCTAAACTCAGTTACTGATGATTGACACACTATCTCCACAGGGAAGTTGGTTTCCAGCTTCCGCTACTCTTTCTGTGAAGTAATACTTTCTAATATTACTTTTGAACTTCTCTTCTGTCAGTTTGAGATGATGCCTCTGTGTTCTTGGTTGCTTAATATTGAACATCCTGCCTTCTAGAACCTTACTCATACCCTTAATATATTTAAAGGTTTTGATCGTATCATGAATTGTAGCCTGTTCGGCAAGTTTGGTTCCATCCTTCCATATGTTAAGATTAGCTTGCATTTGTGTCATACCTGAAATATACAACTCATTTCTATTCTGACTAGGTCATTTTGGGACATCCTGGGTAAAGCATTACTGCACATATCAGAGTGAATCCAAACAAATAACAATGGTGCCATTTGACCAGAAGTCTGGTGGAAAGGGGGTGAGTAAAAATGCAGATGATTTTTCATGGAGATA